AAGAAAAATATCGAATATCAGCTGAGTTATTATTTAAGTGCTGGCGCTGAACATGGCATAACAACATGTTCTGTATGCAGCCAGAAGTGGCAGAGGTGACAAAAACAGGCTAAGCAAACTAGGCAATATAGACAGACTTTCACTGCTTGAGGACATTTTTCTTGTAGTTAACTTTTCCTTGACCTTACAGAGACCGTCGACAGCACAAAGCAGAACAACTGGGATAATGGTCTGTTTTTTCCCCTCGTCGCTCCACTGAAATCCCCCCATCCCCGTCCCCATCCAGAGACAGCCAAGCTTCCCCAGACCGTGGCAGTGTGGTTCTTTTAAATGAGTTTAGCCTTTATTAGTCTGTCAGAGGGAAAAAAACATTGTTTCCCCCAGTAGCAGGTCGAGATATTATTCATCTATAATTGGTAATAACCCCGTACCCCCACCCTGAGGCGGCTCAATCTCCACTGAGTAATCACTGCCATCGCCTGCTCCGCTGGAAACAGCATTATTAGGTCGATGGCACTGTCTCTACCTCTTCCTTCTGCCAAGGTTTATTATGTGACAATATATGGCTTTACTCCTGCGCTTCTTTAAAAACTAGAGGCTGTGGAGGGAGAATCTATCTAAGAAAATGTATCTCACATCCCGAGCTGCAATCAAATATCTCAGCATCCTGGGCAGTGGCTCTGAAATAAGCTCCAGCGGGATCATTTAGGCTGAGGCGTTATCAGTTTTTATGACAGCGAGGTTTGCTCTGTTGTGCAAAACACCTTTCACTTTTCAATATTTAACTGTCAGCTCAACTATTTCAAATGACTGCCTCACGTTTTTTCTTTGTATTTATGAATTGAAAATCTACACAACGGAGCTGAAATGGACAGAATATGGTCTGCAACAAACAATTATTTTTACTTTTTGTCAATGGAATGTCAGAGGAGATTGAAAAATACCCATTATAACTTCACAGAGCCAAAGGTGACGTATCAATTATTCTCTCCATGAATTGCTTTGTCATAAAATGTCATAATTTCCCACAGCCCAAGGAGGTATATTCAGATAGCTTATTTTATCTGACCAAAGTTTATTATCACAAATGACAAAGAAACGCATGACATCTAAAAAGCTGGAACCAGAAAAATGTATTTTGTCGAGAACGTAATGAACGTGATTGTCAATCCACTCATCGATTACTCAACTAATGTAACTCAAGATGTGCAGTTCATGGTGCATTCACTTACAGTAATACTAGAAAAGTACTGCCTCCCTAATAAGGTTTTAGCTTGTAAATGCAATCTAAAGTGTCAGATTATGGAGCTTAGACAAATACAAACACTGTAAATTCAGAGCTTTTGGGAAATACCCCTGAACAAAACACTTATTATCTCAAGATTAGCTTCATGTCATTGATTTACATCATCCATTTACATCATATTTTGTATTGTATTCACCTAGAAACACTTCCTCTCGTTCTTTCTCCACTTTTTCTGTCACAATCCTTCCAAACAGAAACTATTTAATATTTTAAGTTTGGGAAGCAACAGAGCAACTGAGTGACAGAAAGAGAGAGGGAATACATGACCTTGCTGCTGCTTGGAGCAGACTAATATTTCATCAGCTAACACTAAGGACACACCTGCCTCGCAGCTTTACTCAGGTTCACACATCTGCCAACGGCTCTGTGCTTCATCCCTGCGAGGAGGCGTCAGGGGAGGGAAGGAAGCAAGAAAGAAAGAAAGAGGGAAATAAAAGACAGAAAGGAAGAAAAACAAGAAAGTCTCATGTGGTTAGTTAGAGACTGGTGTGTTTCAGGGAAAGTGTAGGTGGCTTCGAACCGCAAAAAAAGTAAGAAATGATATTGGTGACAAAGAGGGGAAAAGCAAGAGAGTGATGGGAAGAAATGATAAGACTCTAATGGTAAACCACCTACTGAATTGTATATTTTAGCTTGGGACTACCCCGGTGTCAAGTTGGGCAAGCTAATGCCAGTAGATCAACAGCACCAGAATATAAGTGAGTTATACAAACTTAGTGGGGAAGGAAATGGCATCATGTGCTGAGAGGAGAAGTGAAACCATACCAGTGGATATTCCCAGCATGATGATCCATTCAACAATCCAGATGAAGTCATTCACTTCTCTACACTGACCTGCCACAACCACAAGCAGCTACAGCATGCTAATGGATGTTGTTATCGCAACCTGTCTCGTACCTATGTGTGAATATGTTTGTGTGTGAGGGAGTGTGTGTAGGGGCCTAGATAATTTTGACTACATGAGGTCACAGACCACACATGATGGATATGTTGACTGCACCATGGTGACGACAGTGATGGTACAAATATTTATTAGTAGTCAGGAAGCAGATTAGGTTCTTTGTGCTTGGTCTATTTTTAGTACTTACCGCATCTCTATAAATTCATGTTTGGAAAATATGATAATAATCACATTTTGTACTTATTATTTTCTCATTATCGCTCTGTGTTAGCTATACAGAGGCTTTCCTGAGTACCTCTGAATTCACAGAGAAGCAACAAGACTTAAGAATCTATAGTTTTGCTAGCAGCTCTGTGAGGCTGAACTTAGGCACAGCGGTGCGTTTAGCTAAATGCTAACATCAGCAGACTTATCATAATGAGAATGCCAACATGCTGAGGCTTAGCAGATCAACATCTTGGGTTTGCATGCAACATTTGCTAATTAGCACTAAACACAAAGCAGAGACGAGGCTGATGGGAATGTCATTAGTTCTGCAGGAATTTGGACATAAACCAAAATATATGACATTACATTTTTATGACATGGTGGCACTAGATAAAAAGTTAGTCATTAGAAATTAACCAGAAGGGAATATTAATGTGTGTACAAACTTTCATGACAAAAAATCCAACAATGAGACACTTCCCTCCAAACCAAAAATCTCATAGTGGCGCTAGAAGAAAAAGTCAGAGGATGATCAAAGTCATTAGGATCCATCCTCTGGGGAACATGAATTCACCGTACTAAATTTGAATGACAATCCATTCTGTAGTTGAACCAAGGTGATAGACTGACAGGCGGACAGCACCGCATTACCACCCTTAGTGAGGACACTAAAATGGCAAAAAACATCAGCAGCAGAAATGGGGTAGTATTGTACTGACGATACCAGGAAGATGCTGCAACAAAGGATCAACTGACATCCGTATGTTGCAAGGCTTTAGACTCACACATCACATCCTGTCACTTATCTCCATAACCTCATTCCCCTGCCCCCCCCTCTCCTCTGTGTTATGTCCAGGTTTCAGTCCAACACTGAAATAAATACAATAATTTAATGTCTGCGGTGCAAACAACACAAAGCCACTTTGTGCCCAATGGGATTTTAGGCACCCTGTTCAGCCACTGGGATGTCAGTTTCCATAGGATTGACCTCCGACCTGGCGTTATATACTGCTGGAGAAAATATATAAACAACCCCTCCCCTCTCCTTCATATCATCAAATGGCCGCCACAAAGGAAAAGAGCTGACCTTAACTGCCCTGGAAACAGAAACACACAAATACGCACTAGCATTGTCAGTACCAGGACGGCCCACTCTCCAGCTAACCCCAGAAAAAAAAAACCCTGAGCTTTCATCTGCATGCAGCTGCCTTGGTGAAGACCACAATAGAAGAGAGGACAGGGCAAGGGAGAGAAAATGGACAGATAGTGGAAGAAGAAAAAAAAATACAGCACAGAGCCAATCAACTGACCAGAGTAAAACAAAGGGCTATCTGTAAAAGCCCCAGACTTCATCCCACCCTGTGATGAGAGAACTTCGATCCCCAGGCAGGCGGGCTGCAAAGAGCTACAAAGCCCTGATGTAGCCTGTTAAGCTCCCACTTCGATTCAGCTCATTGAGTTCCATGCTGCTGATCAATTAGAGAACAGCTGAACCAGCTGCTGACCACACAAACATTCTGTTTTTACCGTTTTTAAGCACAGATGGGGTTTTTTATAGGCTGTGTGTATGCTGCCTGTTATCTAGGTCTTCTATATTATATCTAATCTAAAGTCTTTTCTCCTCCGCTGGTCGCAGAGCCAACCCCAGCCCCTGTGCCATGTCACAATCTCCTGGAGGCCAGCCAATACAGTTAAAATGTTAAAATGCTGGCTTGTCTGGACCCATCTGCATAAGCCAAGTCACAACATGTATTATTAAATAAAAACTACATACTTGATTTTCTTTTTCCAGTGAGTTCCAACCCACCAGCAATGATCCAGTGTCGCTGTAGATGGGGCCTGGTTTGGGTTTGGTTTGGCTGGATTTTAGGCCAGATCAAAGATAGACTAAAAAAGATGGCTATGCTGATTGGACCAATTCATTCATGGAACACTTCCTTAGACAAGTTTACATATTATAAACAATGCAATTGAGTTGTAAGTACGTTAAAGTGTTATTCTATAATAAGGGAAATCTTTTGGCTTCTGTTTATAACTTCAAATGAAAGGTTTTAATCACCATTTTGAAACCAGGCTATTTAAAGTCTGGCTGTTGTTTACAGGGCATTTCAAAACTGAGAAAAAAGGTCGCAATTATTATTCTATTATTTTTTGGCCAGATCACTAATCCTTAACTGGAGGTTGGGCCACTGTTCAGATAGAAGCACAGCTAGCCAACAGGCACATGATGCATACAACATACTAAAACACTTTGGATCGTGAAGTATTTACCAGAAATCAGAGAATCACCATCTGAAAGGGCACATACAACCAAATACAATGTCATATCAATAAAAGCTGATAGCATCCACATTTTCCAGAACAGGTTGGAAAAATAAAGACAGGATTTATCCTGATTTTCCAACAGACTGCTGTTAAGTGTTGCTGCCAGCTGTGGTGTGCAGGAAAAGTGTCAACATGGACATTTTCCACACGGGTGCTTACCTTACCTATGAAAGGGGCATACACTCTTCTGTCTGTGTGTGTGTGTGTGTGTGTGTGTGTGTGTGTGTGTGTGTGTGTGTGTGTGTGTGGAGAGAGACTCACCCATCCTCCTTGGCTCTGGATCCAGGGCTGAATGTGGTTGTCCAGGTAGACCGTCATCCACTCTATGATCCTGCCCACCAGCGGACTCATCTCCTTCTCCACGCATTCTACGCAGAGCGCCCCGCCGAAAGCAAAAAGCCCTACTATGCGGCCCCAGTTGACTCCGTCCCGAAACACCTCGTCCATCACGTTCTCAAAGCTTTGGTAGGCCGTGGCCGGCGTGATGTGCAGCTGGTTGTGCAGGTCGCTGAAGGCGCGGGCGTACCGCAGCTCAAACTCGTTGGCCGAGTCCCGGAGGGCTTCTTTCACTGCGTCCAGGCTCGTCGTTGATGGCAACCGTTGCTGCCGCTGCGGGGACACCGGTGGGGTCCCGGGACTCGTGCCGTTAAAAGTCCCGTTGGCGTGCGTCGCTACCTGCTGTTCCTCCCCCAACCCCGCCTCCCCCCCATCAGTCCTGTTTGGAGGCTCTGTTTGGAGTCCCATGTGGTTGAGAGGATAGTTTCTCTGGGATAGTTTATAGTTTATGTAGTAAACCACCAGTTCTCTGTTTTGAGACATTTTCGTGTTTAAATATGCTTTTTCCTCTTCGCTCCGGGCCGTCGCTGCTCCTCTCTTGGTTGAGCCTTGCCGTGTTAGGGTGAACACACTGAGCCAGGCTTTTTTCCTGCGTTTCCTCTCTTCAGACCACCATGGTCAGCTGATGTCCAGAGGACACTTGGGGGGTGAAAACCAAACCTACACAAAGCTGACAAATCAGCTCAGGCCCTGTGGAGAGACAACAATGAAAGGTCAAAGTCTGGAAAGCCTACAGAGTGATGTGATTATATGTGTGTGTGTGTGTGTGTGTGTGTGTGTGTGTGTGTGTGTGTGTGTGTGTGTGTGTGAGGAAAGAGGAGTGTACAGGGATGGCTGTAGACTTTCAAATTAAATTTGGACAGGTAGGGTCAAAGTGCATCTCTCTAATTGGGCTGTTACATATGGAACAGATGGCAATGATATTAATGAGACAATAGTAGAGCGAACGTGTGTGTATGTGTGTGAGAGAGAGAGCGCGAGAGGACGAGAGACAGTGAGGGAGACAAAGGGAGGGGTTGCGTGAGGAAGGTGAGGTTTAGGTAAGGAGAGATCAGAGGGATAGTCTGGCTTGAGGGACCACGCAGACAGTCACCATCTCCCAATCAGTGACCTCTGACCTTCAGTCTGAGCTTTTAGGCACCTTGTCTCAGTGTTGCTTACACACTGATCTGCACCACCAGCTACAAAACTGACTTTAAAAATTACGCGTTATTATCTCGTGGCGGCTGCTTATTCACACACATGCTGGCCTTACAGCACTGCTTCTATTCTGGTCAGTACTCTGCTTTAGTATGAAGGTGTGTACACTGAAATGCAAATGATACGATTACTACAACCTTACAGTAGATTCTGGCTGCCACTGCTAGCCCTCTCAGCTATAAATTCTGATCTTTGCCTAACTCTAAAATGAGTTGTTCCATTACTTTTCTTTAATCAAATAAAGATATCAGACAACTCACCTTGCAACATCACTGAATTTCCAGTGTACGCGATTCAGTGAACTCTTAATGAACTCACAGTTGTAAAGTGTACTAACAAAGATAATTTATGCTATATTAAGTAATTCTGCAGTTTAGAACTGACTGCGGTCTTGTGTTAAGAGTGACACACAGGGAGGTAACAGAGGGAAGGGTCAAATGCAGGTTAAAATACGTTTGGTACACAGCATGTATTATATATTGTAATGGAGATAAGAAAAAAAACAAAAACAAAAAAAAACAAAAGAGTTATGATGGTCAAAAGCATATTCGTATTCAATGATGAGTCAATTATCACTTAGTCGATTAACAATGACAAGCAGAATTGTCAGACATTCTCTGGTTCCAGCTTCTCACAACTGTGAGGATTTGATGCTTTTCTACACCGTATATAATCGTAAAGTGAATGTCTTTTGGTTTTAGGTCAAATAAAACAAGCAATGGGAATATATCTCCTCAGGGTGTGGAAAATTAGAACAGGCATTTTCCCCAACTTCCTGGCATTTTTTTGACAACGATTAATCGTGAGAATAATCCGCCTGCAGGCAGCTATGTAGATTATCTGAATGAGAAAATAATTGTTAATTGCAAGCTTAATTGATGTTTAAATAGTGGCACTGGAAACAAAAAGCTATTTTTAAAAAGCATGACTTCATTAAACCTTCTAGAAGGTGTTTTTAACTGGCTATGAAACAGTCTCAATGTAATACTGATGCCTCTATATGACCTACATAAACAAACCTTCAGTCAAGAGATTGGCTATTTCTATACAGTTATTCTTAATGCCTGCCACCGGCTAAGATTCCCGTTGAAATCAATGTAATGAGGCAGTGGAAACACTACCACTTTTGTCCACAGGGGCTGCCAGAGTCAACACAAAATGAAAGCTGCTTTTAGGGGCTTTAATTAGCAGTTAAATGCAATTTGTGTCTGTCAACACAATTCTCCTCTCTGCATTCTTACGTCATCTCATCATAAACATATACTGGAGTTGAGCCCTGTGATATAGTAAGTGAAATTAAAATATAAATATGTTCAATATTATTACTATGTTGTATAGTAAAAATGTACTTCATTAAAGATTCATGTCAGTATCCTGCAGCCAGTAAATTGAGTTTAAGTGGTCCTCAAACAAAAGACAATGTGAGAGAGCAGCTGTCTGATAAGCCTTTCTCTCATCTCCTACTGTCACTCATAATTCTCTCATGACCTATCAGCTGCTGTATGCAGGTACACAAACAGGTGTGGGAGGTACATGACCCCAGCATGATCGCAAACTGTCTGATCAAATGGAAACCTGACATTTACTATAACAATAATGACATTTAAGCTGATAAGTCCATAAACCCAATAACTGGTGTGCCAGGCACTATGCAAATAGTGCTATTATTACATAATACATATCTACTCTGCCTTACAGCACAATGGAAGCCCGATACAGTCTCTACTGGCTCCTGGCCAAACAAGCAACGCGCTGTAGTTCCTTCAAGTCCAAAAAAACTTCTCACAAACATAACTTCTGCAGACTATTTTCCCAATAATCTGTAGTCAAATAAATAAAAACAGCCTGTTAGAGCACATAAAGAGGCACAAGGCAGCAGTGTTTACAATGGCCACATGGTCCCAAGCTACCAACACGTGGCTCATCAGCCCAGAACTGATGTAAACACCACACAGCTCCTACAGGAATACCAACGAGTCACAACGAAATGTAGCACCTGAACGCAACATTTGTCACCACAAGCGCTCAAATATTAACTCAAATAAGGCAAACTGAAGGTTGTGTTCATGTTTATTACGGTGGAATCTGGACTGTAACTTAACAGATAAAGAAACCAGGGTCTGTTAGCGATACAGTGCTGCCTCTGTGCACTGCTGCCCGTGTGAGCCCCATCTGTGTTCCCATCCATGGAACATCTTCAGATTAAACATTTATTCACGTTTTCTATTTTGATCGCCGTCTGTGATAACGGAGGCTATATACAATGAAAACATTACCTTACCAGCAGCAGTGAATAACAGCACATGGAGTTATCCTCGGTTCGCTCGCCGTTTCCCTCTTGTCTTCCCCTGTCAAAAACGTCCCGAATCTGTCGGTCAAGTCTGTCTGTCGCTTTGTGTGTGTACAAAAGCTGTCAAAATCCAAGAATGAATACAGTCACTTTGTGGAGAGCGCCTATCTGCACGTCTCCCACCTCCACATGCCCAGCCCTCTATTACGTAACACGACGCCTCCAGAGATGCCTGATTCACGATCATTCCACAACCCGCGTTCATGCTGGCCTTTAAACCCAGGACCACAGCACACAACTCAAGATAGTAATATAACCTCAGAGGAACTTATACCGTTTCCTGTCCTACGCTACAACCTAACAAACAGCGTGAACAACAGTTACAGACACCAATATTTAGTTCTGTGGATATAAATACGTCTGTGTGTCACCATTTGTTCACATTTAAAATATAAATGACATGACTGATGCACTTCTCTTTTCTATCCCGTCGCTGTAGGTCAAATGAACAATGTGCCTCATTGCTTTATTCAACAAACGTTTTGATATTTCCAATTCAATTTACCGACGGATGAACGGGCTTAGCGGGGGCCCCTGAAGGCAGCACAGGCCATTCCAGTCTCCTGTCATATACACTGTGCTAAAAGACCTTTAATCACACAACTCATTTAAATGCTGCTTTACGACACCGCCCTGTACTCCAGCTCTGAATACATTTCACCAAACAAGCAATTATCCTTACACAACTAATTCTTAAGCAAAGCGTTACAGACAGACACATACCACCACCGCCTATACTAACGTTACTGTAGGCAGCTATTGAAGATGGCTGTCACTGTAATACAGTATTAGTGTAGTCGCACAGTCGTAAAATGTAAACTTAGAAATGTGTATTAACAGTGGCAAAATCATTTACTGCAGCGTACAAGTACGCTTAGCATCAAACAGAGTGACATTTGACGGGGCAAAGCTAGCAGGAAACCAAATGATGGCTACGCATTCTTCCAAATATGTCGACCTCCTTCCTCTAAATAGCTGGATCCAGAGAGGAAAATCCGCCCTCTCTACTACTCTTTCTCTCACCATTTCGCCAACAAAACCACCACAGACATTATACTTGAATTCGTAGACTGAGCTGAAACTCTTACTTGTAGGGTGGTCTCCATAAAATCATGTCTGCTGGCTCACAATCCAGATCCCGGCAGGAATAATCTTATCCGTCATTGCTAGCCTTTCTGGCTAACGCCGCCGGAGATCACCCCAGCTACTGGCTGCCTCAGATCCGCCCACAATACAGTAACGTAACGTCCTCTACGTAACGTTAACTTTAACGTTAGCTTCACGCCAGATTCACAACAGCTTCATACAGCGTGAAGAAGAGTCTGCAACAAATGCATTGGATAGACAAATATAACTTCTCACCGGAGAGTGGGATTAGTTGCGAGACACTCCCTGACTTTATATGAGAGCTGGCTGCCGGCTAGCAGCTAAGAAGTCCCAGCTAGCGTTAGCGTTACCTGGCTAATGTTAGCGCTAACTGGCTAAAACTGAGCCAGTTTTATGTTTGTTGGGGCGTCCGTCCCTACATTAATTATGTAAGTTGATAATTGAGTTCAACTGTCGCATTCCTTATTGTTTGCCAATCTAGTCACAGGTTAATGGATTAATAACACGGCGTTTCCTTAAAGGACTCAATGTAGCAGCTTTACTGGCCAAAACAAAGGATGTGAGAGGTCTCCATGGTAACCTTTGTTACCCCAAAATCTAGCGCGCTTCAGGCCGACTACAGGTTTGAGCACAGTGCCACCCTGTGGACATCTTTATACAGCAACTTTACATAGGAAATTCCTCTTCCACGCTTCCAACTCACAATTAAATGACCTATTCTACACAAATATGAAGGTCAGTGGGGCAGACCTATGGTTAAAGATACTGTAACGTCTCAATGCAGCAGCAAACATGTAACGTTAGAACATTAATAACATTAACATTAACATTAATGAAGGCTCCATATTGGGGTTTTTTTGGGCAGAAAAACACATTACACACATTATTGTTCCAAGTAGGCTATTTTTATATGGCGTAACACATGTCTGGAGGGGATCTTTAATGTTATTGTTAAACTGAATCCATGTGGATCAGAATTCAGGTTTATTGATACTTCACCAAATGCTTGGAAGATTACATCACAATATTATGTATAGAACCGTATAGCACTTTCATTTCTATGTATCTTACATTGAAAACTTTACAGTCTGCATTTTCTCATTTACTGTATATATATATTTATATATTCCCTTGCTTTAGGGAAGAAAAGTAGACATCCATAGTTGCGAGGGAAGGAATGCTTCTCAAAAAATATTTAAATGCACTTTAAATAATTACATACATCCTTCTTTTAAAAAAAGGCATGGAATAAACTACGAAGGATCCAGGATGCAGAGATTCCAATGTCTCTGTAGATGCGAGTTTTGGTTTCGCTCCGTTCCTGAACCTTTCCGTGGTTGAACTCTACTGTTGAATGTGACAACACTGATGGGCAATCCAACCATCCAGAGCATGTTGGTACACTGGCCGGTGTTAATACATGAGCAAGTTGTCTGCAACAGATGTGCAAAAGAGTGTGGGAAACAGACAAGCACTGTGTCACCTTACAGGGCCAATTGATGGATTAGTGGAGGGTTTTATGAGCCAGCTCTAACTCTAAAGCCAGGAGGAGTTGATTCCATGTAAGGTCCTTCAGTGTAAGGCTTACTGGGTCAACACACCAAGGAATGCATGACATAGGGTCTTTCAACCAACCTTCAATTGTAAACCAGCAATTATCCTGAAAAATGAATCTTATAACAAATTAAAGCAAGTGAGCAAAAATAAATAAGTAAAATCTCATTGACAGGAAAGAAATCCCACAAATGACAGGACGGTTGTGTCACAGAGAGCAGAGACCTCGCAAACAAAGCCACATTAGATCTTTGATAGTGTTGTAAGAGGTGCAAATTGTTTTCATCTGCTGCTGAGAGTTTCAGTCTCTAACAACAGCAATAACCCGCTACCAAATAACACACACATAAGAGGGAACATAAACATTAAAGTGACAAACAATGCTTTGGGATGGGCACTGATACATGAGGGTTCAGATATTACAACAGATTTTGATTAGATCACCAAACTCACAATGAGAGCGACACTGATTGTGTCATTTTCTAACAGGCACAGGTGGCCAAAGGAGATTTTCGCAAAGGGCAAATGTAAGGTTCATCAAATTCAATGGTGTCGTTCATTTGCTTTCAGCATGTATATATACTTTTTTCTGTTAAGTATTAAAAAAACAAAACAAACAGAAAAACAAACCATCAAAATCAGGTACAGGGTTTGCAACAATATCAATAAATTATTTGTTTACAGTTCTTTTCTAGTCATTGAAGTTTGAGATGAGAGTCTTGGGGATGATGAATGACTACAGTCAGCAGAGAGTGCTGGTCACAGTGCTGTTCATCCCCGAGAGAAAGAAGGAAGGAAGGAAGGAAGGAAAGACAGGGTTAAGACTTCTCTATGAGCTGTAGAAAAGCTCAACACTTTAGAGTCCTGAACTGAGACAGAAAAGCTACAGTCTTTGTCGTCCTCCTGACATTGCAGCCCCTCTGTAATCTGTTCCAGTCCAAAAGAGGGAGGAAAAGTCTCTTATGTGTCCCCTACTCGTCAATGTCCGATGTCCATCATCCATTTCTCCATTCGTCCCTTCACCTGACCCTGCACCCACCCATTCTAGGACGACGAAGTCCGGGCAGACGCCCCCTCTGGAGCAGCGATGTGGAAGACGGAGCCGATGCGCAGGAAGAAGCGCCTGAGGACGGCCCGCAGCTCCGGGATCAGGTCAAACTGCATCATCTCACACAGGTGGGGGTAGTAGCAGGAGGCATGGGGCTTAAACTGTGAAAAAATATAAATTAGCACCACGATTCAACCAACTGATATACTGCATGTGCTTCAGTCCCAGTGAAGTAGGAGACATCTTGTGTCCAGCAGGAAAACTTGAGGAACATTTGCATATTCATAGATTCTGGGATTTGTAATGAGGTAGAAGGAGCAGATTCCTGGAAATTATAAATTTTTGTAGAAATATATCAGGCACACATTATTGTTTGTTTATTGTGAGTATTTGTATAAGTGTCTTAATATGTGTCTGGAGGGGATCTTTAAGAATATACGTGACAGAGAAAGGAAGGGAGGGAGGTTGCTCTGGGATGTGTGGGCGCTGCTGGGAGGCCATAGAGTTCACAGCAGGGCTTTAAATGAATATGTTGAGGACGTTGTTTTTCTTCACCGATGCTGCTTTTGAGGGCAATTTCATTGAATTATGAAACTGCATTCAGACAAATAAACACAATTTGTAGCATTACGATTTGTTTAAACAATTTTAATAACAACCAAAACTTAACAGCAGGCCTTGCACAAGAGAATGGTGCCGGCCAGTCCACTTTAACAATACTGGTGTAATTTTTGTTGATGCAGTGGTTTGTGTGGTATTGGCATTTTTTTGTACAGCTGGCAGCATGGCGCCATCAGTTACTGCTGCTTCAAGCTGCATGCTGGGTTGTTTTCTAAAAACTGCTAGTTTTGGCCCAACAGGCCCTGGAAAGTAAAACCTGAGTCATGGGCTGCCATGAATCATCAGTGAATCATGTATTCACACTGAGAGGGCATGAGTCATAGGTGATGGCTCACAAAAAGTGTTCAGAATCACAAAAATATGAAATGAAGAAAAATAAGAGTTATAAGACTTATCATTTGTAAGTAATGGACATTTGATCAACTTTACATGTCTTTTTTCTCTTTAATTTCTGATCCTGGTTGCACAGTTGGACATAGTTATGATCCAGAGATCCACATTGTTTGTACATATTGGCTTGAGTCCTGAAGTTTATTTCAATTAATGATATTCTATGAATTTAATTTAAATTTAAATTATTTTTCTATGTAAAGCATAAAGGACTGCAAATGTTAATTTTGTTATACTACCTTGTGTGGTATAATTATAAATCCATTTCCTTGATTCCTGCCCTGCTTTGATCAAACACATTACATATAGAGAGGCCCTCCCCTTCCAGGGTCCCCCATTGGGAAAAAAAAAAAAGTACAGTAGTCAACGGAGAGAAACAAATTCTTTTTTGATCCTGTTTGAATTGCGCCATGTATTATAAATATGATGTTGGTTATTTTTATAATCACCACAAACTTTTGGGTGTCTGGTCTTTCTAATTCTGTACGTTCAACAGTTTTATGACAAACTTGGACTGTCTTGACTTGCAAAATAATCTTTTAAATTGACAAAGCTCTTATGTGTAATTAATGGCACAATTCAAACTGGATCAAACAATTATTTGTCTGTTGCTGTTAACCACCATACATAAGAAATAAGGTCCCATGGGGACACCTGAAGGGGAGGGACTTCGCCTCTATATAGTAAATATAGTATACTTTAAATGTGTCGGTGGAAGAATACTGTGTGTATGTGTGTGTGTGTGTGTGTGTGTGTGTGTGTGTGTTCTTGCCTTGTCATCGGGAAGCCGTAGCGTCCTGGTGAGCAGCAGCATCAGCAGGCTGTTCCAAGCCTCTCTGTGGCTCTCTGAGGTCAGACTGATGAAGTAGGCCAGAGCTTCACTACACACCCTGTGAGAGACGAGCGCAAAAAAACACACACAAAAACACACACACACACACACACACACACACACACACACACACACACACACACACACACACACACACACAAAGAGGGTTATGACGCAACACTGATGTATCTACAACACTAAATAAGCAGAAGTGGTCGGTCTATCACAGCCCCCTGTACAATTTTATCATTCACCAGAAAAGAAGGCCAAAGCACGCATCCACCAACAGCAGCTATTTAATGATTAACACCACACATGCGTATTCTTGATGTAATACATGAGTCAAATGCTCCAGTGCAGCTGCTCAGCAATAAACACAACAAGGTGATTTGTACCAGCTCTGCCATGCCAATATATTTTACAAAATACACACACACAGTGTACACTTCATAAATATATAATGAGGTATGAGCCATGACGTGTCAGAACAGCTCACTCGCTAGGGAACAAACAGCTGTGCTGCACTTTCTGCAAGTGACACAGTTGGTGCTTATTTATCTAAGGTTTGACGTTTAACCAGACAATCACACACGGCCAGTATTTTCAGGTAGTGGAGATGAGCAGTTACAATGCATCTTCTGTAGTTGCACTAACCAATAATAAATATATCTACTAACAAGTACTGTGTGTGTATCTAAAGTCTGATATAGCTACTTCTTCTGTGGCACAGAGCTCCATTGTTGTCCAAAAACTATTAAAAACACATCACTAAGCCACACTGTTGTACCAGCTGACATGTTTCTTCGTTCCCATCAACACACACACACACACACACACACACACACACACACACACACACACACACACACACACACACACACAACACACACACACACACACACACACACACACACACACACACACACACACACACACACACACACACACACACACACACACTGTAGTTTATTTTGACTCAGTCCCACATAAACAGTCCTGCTGCCCTAAAAACTCACTAAGTGCATCAAATCTGTGGCTGAAAATAGTCCCCAACAA